ATCTCGATTCCGCCATGATAGCGGGGGGAAAAACTTATTCTCGATTCCGCCATGATACTAGCTATGCCAGGAGATCTTCCGATCGGACGGTGCCATGAGCGCCCACGCTAAGGGGAAAAACAAAAACGTCTTTCTAGATTCAATCCGCCGCTACCCGTGTTCCTCGAACAGAACAATCGTACGGTCATCATCGCTGTATTTAAGACTGAAAGATACCCCGAATACAGGTTTTATGACCGTACGTTGTATTCGGGGGAAGCAGGTACCCGTGTTCCTTGAATAGAACAATTGTACGGTCATTACCCTTGTATTTGGGGTACGACGGGTAGCGGCTGAATCGAGTAATGACCGTACAATGTTGTAAGCGATCGATCATTTGTTCGGTTTGGATGCAATGATCATGACCGTCGTGTTCTGTTCGGGGGAAGACGTGGTCGGACTTTGGGGGCTCTCGAGCTCCCTTCCATTCCACGTGTCTGTCAGCCTCCGTCGCCACTTCCACAGATGTTTTGTTTTTTCGTTTTGTAAATGAAAACTCCGAATTTTTTTTATAAATAAAAACTACACTATATTCTTCTCTCAAATTCTTTCAGCTTTCACTAGGTACCTCTACAGATTTTGCTCCCCCCCCCAAAATCCTTGCAGGGGGGTTCCCCTGTATAGACGTCCAAAATTTTGGTGGCTGCCCAGATGGGGGGAAGAAAATCCCAAAATCATTTGGGTTTATTCCCCTCATATGGGCAATCCTTCGCAACATACGTCTTACATTAATTGGTTGGTTGATTGATTGATTGATTGATTGATTGATTGACTGATTGGGTGGTTGATTGATTGATTGATTGATTGATAGGCTGAAGGGAGATTGACACAATCCCAGGTTACAACCTGCCCTTTACGGCAGCGACACTGCACGCGAAACGGAAAAAAAAAAACGAGTGCAGTCACTACTATATCTGATTATTTATTATAAGGCAGGCTAACAATACAGGTTTGTGAACAGCCACAGATCAAATCCTCCTCTTCCGAAATCATAATCGAATTGAATCCGTCGGTCTCGATTGACTGACCTTTCTGTCAACAAATCCAGCAACTAAACCAAGATATTTCTTATTTATTAACCTACCTATCTGTCAAGCAACTAAACCAAGATATAATCTTATTAGCCTACCTATCTGTTGACAGATAGGTAGGCGTGAACATTGCACATTCCATAAATCACCGTTATTTTCTGGATTACGATGTCGAACAAAACATGGACCTTAGATTCGTTTTACAGCTCTGTGATGCACAGCATACCGAACAGCGAACGAGTGCGTGGACGAGGGCTCTGCACCCGTTGTGACGCACTCCATGTTCCCCTATCTTCATCTCTTTTTCCCTGATCACCTTCCGTTTGTCGTCGATCCCTCCGTACGTTAGGGCATGGACTGTGTTACTTTATTACAGTTCTTAACTGTACCTGGATGGGGTAGATTGCTTGTTTCTGATTCTCCAGCACCTCCCTCTCTCTCTCTCTCTCACACACACACACACACACACACACACACACACACACACACGTGCCGGAAGATTTGTTGCGTTGGGCATTCACAGTTCGTGCAGCGGAAACCCGATCTGCCGGAGTGGTTGTTTCTGACTGCATTCTTCTTCTTCTTCTTCTTCCTCTCCTCTCTCCCTCTCTCTGTGTGCGGAAGATGCTTGTGTGACTAGATTGGGCAGGAGTAGAGTCGCCGGTCAATATGCTTATCTAGAGATCTTTACCATATTTGCCAAAAATGGACAAAACTATTGCAAAGGCTACCCAACCTACTAAATCTTTGAGGGAAATAGCATAACTGACGCCTTCATGCATAGATAGGCATCAGAGAGCCTTTCCCGAACCGTATGTGTAAGTTTCCTCGCATACAGCTCTCACGGAGGTCCTTAGTTAGCGACTGTAAGTAAGCCGGCAGAGGCTTGGCAACTGCGACCTCGCTTCGTCTAGCGAGCCTGCTGATTTACTCTATCCACTCGAGTGGCCTTTCTGCCGTATTTCTCGGTAGTGTATGTAAGAATTGAGAGTGTTCCAGCATATAGCCAGATTTTATAACTGCCCTAAAGTTGACAGTTAGAGTTACTGCCGCCGTTTACTGGGGCTTCCATTGGAAGCTTATGTCACTTCTCCTTTTCACCTCCCAGCACCGGGCAGGTGTCAGACTCTATACATCGTGTTTGCGTTTGCCTTCGATCGTTTTCCAGTATCTGAAGGACGCGACAATCTTTCCACGATTTAGATGATTGTCACGCGGTGATGGCATGGTTGGTTGGCCCGCGGTGCTGGCCGGATTGATCTTCGTGAGTGAGGCCGCTTTTCTCAGCGATTTTTTCCATGAGCGTTTCGCTTATGGAATCTTCAATGAGCATAAGAACAGTTTCAGAAAACGACATCAGACTTCGCTTGCGTGACCGATCTTTGTCAATCACGAGAGAGAGAGAGAGAGAGAGAGAGGTGATAATTGGTGCTTTCGAGGAGCTTCTTGTTGATCGTTCTCTGGCCTTGGAGGAGGGCTATGGGAAAATAGATCCAGTGGACAGCCGAAGGAAGGAATAGGATCCCTTTTTCATTTTTTTATATTTTTTCAGCAGGTCTCTTGATTGGTTGTTGATGGATTGCTCTCTTGGGTGTCCCCTCCACTAATTGATCGACTGATGCTCCAATCTATGTGTGGGGAGCAACACGTGATGTTTTTTTTTTTGTTTTCTTTTTTTTTTCCCCTGAGACAAATGCTCCAATCTATGTGTGGGGAGCAACACGTGATGGGAACTAGGCCCAGCGGCCCATATGGAATTATACAAATGATTTGAAATACCAGGGCCCTTACCTGGCTTCGGCTAAGAACAATCTGAGAACTATGA